TTGGTGCAAACTTATTCCCACATGGGATCAGAAAAAAACATTAGTTCAGCTCATTTTAAACATTTTGCAACTTTGTTTTAGGACTCATGATTGATTGATTGTGGGAAAAGAGGGAAATGATACAGGCCACATGCTGCTTGCTCACATGTCCACATGCACTATCAATTTTGGGGAAAAAAAAGTCTACTTACCTGATCTTCCCTTTGCATCCTTAGCTAGGAGGTCAGCTCCTAATGAAATCAGTGTCTTTATCGCATTGCTATGACCCTCCTGTAAATAAAAGGTTTAATTTTTTTTTTTTAACGTTTAGAGACCCACCCTACTTGGAATCACCAATAGTATTTTTACACCTCCGCTTACAATGAAGCACACACACACACACCTCCACCTCCGACCCGCCCACCAGTTCAGCCATTTATCTTATAGCTTGTCAGAAGATGAGAGTTACACAGTGCTCCGGGGAAAGATTCAGTGCCAGCTGGAGGGAAGGCACATCCTTCACTCAATGAATTAATGTCATTGACGAAGTTGTAGGAGTCTCTGTTCGACTGGGAGTTGAGACAGCCCGGTAGGCCTCATCCCAACCTTACTCCCAGTGGTACTGAGTGAACAGTGTGCCACCGTAGAATGGAATCCCCTTCATAGCTGGCTAGTGATGTGGCCCAGGCTCGAACCCGTGACACCTGGGTGACAAAGCTCAGCCTGCACTTCACAGGAGTGACCTCAAAGACCAGAAATGCTAATTGCTAAGATCACAGGCTACTGCATATTTCATACAAAGGTCTATATCGAGTGTCATGTCACCAATGAAATGAATGTGAGGGGTCATAGCTGACTCCCAAGATATGATCAGGAAGAGAGGCCGAAGGGCAGAAGAGCCCTTTCCTCTTTCAGATTGGGATTGTTGAGCAGGGTGAAACACGAAGTGCAGGCCCTGCACAGGCTGGGTTTTCTTTGCAGATCAGCAAAGGCCTTTTGTATATGGAGTTCTCAACCCACCACATTTGTCAAATATTTGTTTAAAATAAATAAAGGAAATGAAACCTCTTGGTGCGGTTGTCTAAAGTTGCTACTGCAAGAACGGAATAATACTGTCTGAAAAAGAAGAAGTAGAGTAGGTGATTTTCCACTATTACCGAGACTTAAAACTATTTAGCTAAACAGATATAAATTTTCTTGTTCTACATCTACACTCTATCTTCAGTGAGTTTCAGCACTAATCTGTGGTTAAGGTGCAAACTGCAATTTAAATGTATTGTTTTACTGTAAACAGAATTTGCGTAAAATAAGAGTTTATTCCACTTTATATCTGAATGACCATTCTGCTATAGGTTAATTACAAGGTTACCAAATAATGGTATATTAAGTCAAAGATTTACAGTCAAGGCACTGATATTGCTGCGTAAAATATTTAAGCTAAGCAATAATCAGCGTTATGCAGTCAAGACCTACATCAGGAAATGTCAAATTGACAAGACGGTTTAAGACAAGGAACATAAAAAGAATGTGGTTTGAGATAGCTAAAACTTACAGTACTGTTTAAAATTTGAAATCAAACTTACAGATTATTTACAGGAAATGAATGTTCAGGGCCATAACAAATGCTTAAAAACAATTTCACATTTTACAAAAATAACAGGAAGCTTATTTATTTTTAAAATATGTACAAAACCTATCATACTAATATTATGGACTCAACCTTTGTTAAAACAAGCAGTATACATTACACGTCCTCTAATAACATCAAATCACCATAGATTCAACATATACCAAACTCAACAGTCCATTACAGACAGATAATTACCAGGGCCTTATAAATTTTTTTATTGAAATCGGAACGCAAAAGAAAAACAAACCTAAATGTCAGAAGTTTTAAGAAAAGAAAATCAAAAACACGGCCAAGAGAGGGTGGAAGATATTGGTGGATAAACATCATTATGGAGAAAGAGGAAAGCTGAAAGAGTTGGAGGTGTAACACTACACAATCAAAGAGCATTCAGGCACACAAAATTAACCTAAATAAATCATGGATCTCAAAATGCATGAATCAGATGTAGAAAAAAAATCAAAAGGTGTAGCATTAGGAGTAACTACTAACAACTTCATGCACATGTCATAAGCATTTATCACGGTAGATTTTAATTAGAAACACAAGAAAAGTTATAAAAACAAGAAGAAACCATTCAAACGTTTTGGCAGTGAGCAGTTAATTGATCCAAGGATCTCAAATCAGTTTTTATCAGGGTATCTGCTCAATCGTTTGGGTAAAGAAACCCACCCTGTTCTCAATTTTAAATGCCCAAGCATGTACAGTAGGTTCCACTTTTTAAATGCCTCCCTACATTGTCTAGAACAGGTAAATGCTACGTCAACATAAACACCCAAGTCTTTTACATAAGTAAATTTACCTCACAAAGACTGGGAATAACCAATGAGTACAGTATGTCAACAGCTGTAAATAAAAGAGCCATGACTAATGTTTACTATCCTACTCAGTTTGTCAGAGAACAAACTGTACATGAAAGTTAGTATTGATACCATCTCTTCAAACAAGATAGAGCAAGGCATACAGGGATAAGCAAACCACAGGGGAACTGTGATCATAATTTGGTATGATTTGAAGAAAATGCTCTTGGTCAAGTCCAAAACAAAAGTGTACAATTTAATGAAAACGGGTTATGAGCAAGAATATGTTTATGAAAAACACAATCGGATAAGAGAGATATGAAATCAGTATCAGTAATTATTTCCACTGAGCGGAAATAATTTAAATCTGGTCTGCTTAAAGCAAGAATACATGCATCCTGCAAGTAAACTGAAGGATAAAACGCAATGGACAAAATGGTTTAATGGATCACTGAGGATAAATATATGGAGAAAGGAAGCACGGAGTAAAATAGTTCAATAAAAAAATCCAGTGTTTGGATTTTTTGGAGTGTTTTACAGCAGCAGTGTTGGTGTACAGATGGACAGAAGAAAAAAAAGGTATGAATCAGAACTTAAATCTGTTGGTTTTGGAGTTGGGGAGTCGATATCTGGAAATTAGTAAACAAGGGTTGTGAATTGGTCCGATTATTGGCTTTAATCAGACCAGTTCTGATGCTGTTCATTTTAAGCAGACCTAGATAACCCACAAACATGCTGAACCTTCAGGAACAGGACTGGAAACCCCTAAAACAACTGAACATTTTTGTAATGAATGGTGAAGAGAACATGGAGACCTGACCAAGTATTCAAAGTCTTCAAAGCCAATGACAGTCAGCTGACACTGTCGGAAACGTCAGTGAAATATAAATCGGCGGCCTGAAGTGGAAACTACAAAGAAGTGCACAAACTGAGAATAGGAGGCACTCTTTTGCACCAAGGACTGTGGAAATCTGGAACAAGCTGCTCTGTCAAGCTTCAGTTTGGGTTACTTATATTTAATGTATGTAAAGGTTGGATACTTGCTTCAGTAACCTGCTTGCAACTCATCATGACAGATGGAGCCCTAGAATGACACCTCATTGTAAAGGTTTTTCTTTAAAGTGGTAGAAATATGAAAGGCGCTCACCTTTGCAGCATAGTGCAGAGCTGTCAGCTTGATGTCAGTGGCTTTTTCATTCACATTCACCCCCAGGTCCTCGACAAGGAAGCGCAGTGCATCTTCCTGAGCAGTGACTGCTGCCTGGTGTAAGGGCTGAGCTCCCAGGTTATCCACAGCTGTGAAAGAGGCCTAATAATCACAAATACAAAGAAAACCAAATCAAATCAAAGTTAATTTATCAAATGCACAACAATACAGCGTGCAGCAGTAGTTGCTGGCAATGAAATGTCTTTTCTGCGAGCTCACAAAAATCACAAAATTGAGGTTACGAAAATAAGGTTACATAATAATAGGTGTAATAGAAATTGAATAAAACTCAATATGAGTAGAGCTGCTGTCCATGGTGTATGCAATATATACAAGTAGTGTGGTTATGCTGAATGTCCATGTAGCCATTACAGGTGATTTCCTAAAGGAGCTGCAGGTTGGCTATTTTGCAGTCTTATTGCCTGGAGGTAGAAGCTGTTCCGTAGTCTGTTAGACTTGGTCTGAATGCTTCGGTACCGTTTACCGGACGGTAGGAGGGAAAACGGTTTGTGACTGGGATGACTGGGGTCCTTGAGAATGGACCTGGCCTTCTTAAGACATCTAGCTGAGTAGACTTAATGCACCACATCTTTGGTTTCTGGTACAAGTGGCCTGGTGTGGGAGTATGAGCTGTATTTGCGTGTGCGTCTCTGTCTCCTTCACGATGGATTGTCCTTGCAACCGTTGCTTGCTGGTAAATGGGCTCCAGTTCCCCCTCGAATTGGATGAAGAGGTTAGAAAATGGGTGGATGGGTGTTTATTTTATGGAAAGGAACAAGTAAAGGTTTATTCCATGCTGAAAAGAGAGGAAAAGAAACAACTTTTCGGCTGTGGAGCCTTCCTCGGGTGTGTGCGCCTTTCAGGTGTGTGTCCTCTGCAGCCTACGCATGCTGACACAGCTTCCTACTTGAACTGTTCATTTTATGCACTACCAGTAGACGTGTACAGCCTGGAGTCTCTGCTTGGCCACAACAGAATGCAAAGGGATCTTATTTTCTAGGCTTTCATTTGTGATTACATTTCAGAACATTTGAGCATTTATTTTTCACTTGGAGGTCTTGTGTTACAATGCATAAACAAAGTTAATATAAATTCTAATTTAATGTGTCTTTCAGGATTTCCGGTGTTACTTTGGAAAGGGAGTGTAGCTGTTCTCTAGCTACAGTATGACCCGTTGCTTGTATCTATTGTTCCATAAACAGTTAACAAGTTATTTTTTTATGAAATACAGCATTCTTACAATATATGAAGACTATTTTAAACAAAACCAAAAATTCCAGCCATAAAGTGACAAATTATAAAAAAAATCTCATAAAAGGCACTATCTACCTAAATCTGCAAGCAAGGTGAGTAAGCTGGAAAAACAGGTTCTCTAATCACCTACCTGGTGTTTTTCCATCAAGCTTTTTGCGATTGAAATGTGACCATTTCTTACAGCATCCATAAAAGGAGTCACTCCACAGCTGTCTCTGTAGTCAGGTTCATAATTGCATCTGAAAATGAATGCTACAGTTACAAATATGCCCATACAAAACAATAGATGAAAATGCAAACTACAGTACTACTCTTAAATCACTTGATATTAAGTAATTGATTCCGTTAACAGTCATACACAGAAATGGCTGATACCCCCGCCATCATTATCCTCCATTATCAACCAGCTTGTAAAATATTGTATGATGTTCAGAAAAATTGGTTTAATATAATACAGCAGCTCAGATCATGTTTCATGTTAATTTATTTAATTCAGCTATCCTGTTACTCAGTATTACTGAATAAACAGGATCACATATTACACAATTCAGCATTATGTTCTTTGTCATCACATTGCTGTTCCTGGCACAGAAATCACATTGTTTTTCTCTGTTTGGCCTACTAACCTCACCCATGTCACTGCCCTGCATAAGCAGTGCTAACTTTGGAAGACCTTAACACAATCTGTTTTGAAATTCATAGGCTTGTTTGTCTGTATTCAAAATGTGAGCAATCAGTTATCAAACTTACCTGTCGAGCAGTATATTAACAACCTCGTCACATCCATGCATTGCTAGAAAGAAAAAGTAGGACTTTAAAATAAATCCAGAATAATTCTGTTATTCCATTCATAATGGAATTCATAATTCCAATGCATTCTGAAAAAAAATGCTTTTGGAGGCACAAATAAGACAAACTGTGATACCTTTGCTATTTAGAACACATCAGCTTTAGGTAACACATTTAACAGATTTAATTTACAGTACTTTCTTATGTCTACTGATATCCACCTGACCTCAGCTTTTAACTTTCTGACCTCTGTTAGCTCTGCTATCCAACTCTGCCTTTGTTTCCAATGCAGATGTCATAAATAGGGTTTGTTTAACAGATGTACAATTTTCAAAACCAAAGCTCAGAGATTATTGAACTATAATTTTCAAGACATTCATATCAATTTATTCCCCTTCCTAGATGCTATATTGCATACAGCAGCTTAATTTCGGCAACAGTGAAATCCTCTGATTCATGAACATTTCACACACTGACGGTTTCTGAATTTGTGCCTGCCTTTCAGTACTTACAGGGACTTATATGCATTGATTACCCCGAGCAGCGTGACATCATCTGTATTTTTCCAGGCTTAGCTGTTTGTTTTGGCAGTTCTCACTTTTCTGATTTTTTTTCCAAGCTGCTGTTTGCCTCCAGCAATAGAATTAGATTTTAGTATACAGATGATCAATATTTTGTGTTTATGTAATATATACCACTTATCTTTAGACAACTACCATTAGGACAGTGATAAGATCACCCCCAGCTGATCTTATCACTCTCATTCCCCTTTTCTCACCCTTTAACAGTCTTAATCTTTGATCTATTTTTAATTTACTTTGAATAATGAATAATTCTATTACACTCTTTAAAAAGAACATAGATACTTAGCGCAGGATGAAATAATTCATTTGGAATACATTACACCAAGAGCTGTAGACTTAACACATTAGGATAACTACTTATTGGAGAACAACAAGATCCATAGATAGGGCATTTTGACTAAAATTATCCCCATCTAATAATACACATAATTCTTTATTGTCAATCTTTTAGGTACTGCATGAAACCGTCTTTGTACTCATGCCTATGAAGAAGATAAATTTGAGAAGACAGATCTGTTCATTCCTGATTTACCTGCAGTGTGCAGTGGAGTTCTGAGAGTCTTGCTCTCCGTCTTCCACACTCCTGAGCAGGTGTCCAGCAGGTACTGTATGACCCAGGGATCTCCTTCTCGGCATGCAATGTGGAAAGAGTTCCAACCATCTTTGTTCTTCAGCGCTGGCTTTGCTCCATTTTCAATCAATTCTTTGATAACATCAAGGTTTCTCCTTGTACAGGCCATCATGAGAGGCGTCCTGCAAGGAGAGAAAAACTAACGATGTGTTAAATTCTTAAAAGGGACTATAATTTGGATTACAAACATATTAACATACTGTAGAATGACCCACATTTACACAGGTTTTAAGATTTTTGGTGGGTAAATAATTCTTGATCTGATATTTTTTTAAGGCAAAACACATTTCAATCTGGTTTCTACGTGATCCAACAAGTAAATGTGCCCATTTGGAGCACAGCTTTGTGAATGGGATTCACAATGGTGTTGCACAATTAGGCACTGCTGGATTCGCATGACCTTGAGGCAAGAATATCATCCACATGATGCTACACAAGGGTGACCTACTGCATGTGGCTCACCAACTGAGTGTGAAGTGCTACTCGTGAGAACTGCATCACTGACTTGTCTTATTGGTGCTGTGGGCTGAAATAATAAAAAAGAACCACTTGACAAGAATGTGTTTTTGAGTACACATTTGCAGCAGTTTCTGTGAATAGAAAAGGCCTGTACTAATCAGCCACATTGACTAGACTTGGCATTGCCAAATGGACACCACAGACAATAAGTAACTTCTACTTTAGTTTAGAATAAAAAAAAAACAAAGAATCATCAGGTGCTCTTAGAACTTGAAATTCTATTTATTACCATGAACGCAAGCCTATATGCTAATTCTTGCATACTAATAACTCATGCTATTAATGCCAAGGGGCAGATGCTAACAGCGTGGATCAGTTCTTACAGCCTGAGCAAATTACAAATCCAGGGCTCGGGTCTTTATGTTAAATGTTAAGGGGGCATTGTGCACACATTGCTGGATATTCAGAATGAGAGATTAAGAGTCGAGCAGACTCCAGGTTTTCTTCATGTACCAGATTTGTTCAGTTTGGTTTCTGGAAGGTAAATACAGAAGTGTCGTACTCTTGTTATTTTTCTAAACCGGAACAGCAAGGGGTTTGCGGTTATTCTTCAGGAAGCCCCCTGGTGGACAACTATGGACTAATTTCTCATTTCATCATGTTTTAAACATATAACAAGACCGTATAAGTTTGTTTAACAAAATGTGGGCTACTTTTAACAGCCATTTAGCTATAACATTTTTTAAAAGTTAGAACTGTTTTAGTTAGGAACAAGTAAAGATTAAATCTCTGATGAGGACCTCTTCGGGTGTGACTAAACCTGTTTTGTATCGATATATAGTCTCTCTGTAAGTGGTGTGTAACGCCCTCGCCTGGTGGTGAGGAGGAAGCGCCCCTAGGCGCTCGTAGTACCGCTGGGCATGCTGGGAGTGGTAGCCGGGGAGAGTCTGAGGGTCAGCACGATGACCAGCGGCTGACCCTACCTGTGTAAATAATGTCCTAGTAATTCTAGTGCCCTGTGTAGTCTTATAAAAGTATAGCGTGTTGTTAAGTAATTACCACCCTAAAGTTGTGTATGTGTTCCGTCAGTCTCCTCATGTGCGTGTATATCCTATGTTTTATTTTGTGTGGTTGTTAATGAATAAAGTTAGTGCTTGGTTTGTGAACCGCGTCTCCACTGGTCCTTTTTGCTGAAAAGAACCTGTAAACGCTACAGGTGTTTGTCTACAATATACATCACTAGTTAAAAAAGTCTCCCAAATTACGTCATTCACTATTCATCTTCACTACTTACTCTGACATGATGAATTATTGTCAGGCTGTATGCAGAGAGTGATCCTACTTGCACCTTCAATCAAAATTCATGTAAGTGCTAAAAAATCATCAAGGTTTATTTAGCAAATGCACATCAATACAGCATATAGCAGTAGTTACTGGCAATGAAATGTCTTTTCTACGAGCTCACCGGGGGAGATAAAAATCACAAAAATAAGATTACGAAATAAGGTTACATAATAATAGATAATAATGCAATAGAATAAAATAAACTCAGACAAAACGCAATATAAATAGAGCTGCTATGTGTCCAGAGTGTATGCAGTCTACTGTATTATGTCCAAGTACTGCAGTATGCCGAACACGATGAAAATGAGCTGCAGGTTGGCATTTCCAACAATAACACAAACTGTGGTTGTACGACCCGATTCATCATTAATCAAAGTCTTACCAGTCTGCCTTCTTTAAACGGTCTATATTCGCCCCTTTCGCAATGAGATACACCACGCATTCCCTGTGACTCATTGACGCCGCTTCGTGCAGAGCCGTCTTATAATCGCTGTTATGAAGCTCTATGTCCAAACCGGTGTCTTCCATTAAAAACTTTAAGACTTCCAGGTGACCGTGTCTAGCAGCATAATGTAGCAACGTGTCTCCAGATTTTCCGAAATGTTTCTTTTTGATCAAATTCCGAATGTTCTCCTTTTCACTTAACACCTTTCTGATTAGAGACAATTGTCCCTCTTGCGTTAACTTGACCAGGTATTTGAGTGTATCTTCCTCCCCCATATTGTAATAAAAGTCAATCAACTAGTTTATTGGCAAGGTGCATCTATTGTTAAAATACAAATTTGTGATTATACGAACTTTAACATCTATTTTTCCCCTTGTGATAATGTAACTCACTGGAAAAAATAAAATTGCACATGGGACATTTCCGCTTTTGTAAATTCCAGTTTGTTAGTTCTTGATGACTGCACGGCGTGTATGCTAGTATGTCACCCAGAAAAGGTAAGTTAAAAATGCTTATTTCATCTTTTCATTGCCTATCGTAATACGACTATTTTAGATACATTGCAGTTCAGATGCTGGCTAGTTAAGTTACAAGCCGGGTCAACAAAAAATATCCCTGCGTTATACACTGACAGTTTTACTATACGAAATAGCACTTCGAGCAGAAAAGCGTCTTCACCACAATGCAATTACTAACAGCTATAGATCCAAAAATGAATATCGCATTTGGATGTATCTTCCAGTTTTCCAACAAAACGTATTTTTTCTCCCAAGCTAAACCGTTTGATCGGCGCAGCAAAAGCCATGCCGTAAGTACGACATTACTACGTCAAGGAAGGCGGGTAAAACAAGGAAAACGTCACCTATCATAGGCTCAACCTGCATGACGAAAGGCGTTCCCATTGGTCAGTCTGGGTGACCCGCAGTTGGAAGTGTGGTAAACGTCATATTGAAAGTGGAAGGGAAACGTCTTTATTGTCAAGACTGTAATTGGTATTATTTATTCACAGCAGACCATCAAAGTTTACAGGTGAGGAAACAAAAAATATTCTCTAACCTTGTTTCGTTCTATGTTGATTTTTAATTGTTAAAAGGGTTATTTATTTTGGATTTTGGCATCCTTAAAAATATTGTCATCTCTGGACTTGCTGGAATTGCTGCTTATCAGACTCCACTGAAAATGTTTATTAGTTCTAGTTTGATTCGGAGTGAACGCCTAGCTGACAGTCACGTTGTTGTGTATTGGCCTATTGAAAGTATAAGGCTTGAAAATAATAATGTAACAAGAACTAGGCTGCGATCAAGTTGGCTGATGTTTTCCTTGGCAGGAAAACATAAAACTTCAATGAAAATGTCACATTAATGTGTGAACTGCATTTAGGCCTAAACAGTGATTAAGCGCAGACATGTCCACTGAGATGAAAAGTAGTATTTGTAACCTCTCCGTTACAACTGGGGACAGCGTGTGCATCCTACAATTAAATGCATACTCCTTGTATGTAATTAAGTTGGTTGTACCAAGGTTACAAAAACAAATACAAAGTTTCGGGATTTATTTTTGAAAAAATAAAATATTTTCCATCAGGTGACACGGTGTCGCAGTGGTTAGCAGTACTGTTTCTTAGCGCTGGGCTCCACTCCTGCTCTGCTGTCCGTGTGTAGTAACTATCTTCTAGTGGTCATGTGGGTTTCCTCCAGGTGCCTCAGTCTCCCCCCCAGTCCAGAGACATACTGGTAGGTTAACTGGCTTCTGGGAGAACTGGCCCTGGTGTGAGTGTCTGTGTGTGCCCTGTGATGGACTGGTGTCCTGTCCAGGGCATACCCTGCCCCTTCACCCGTTGCTTGATGGGATAGGCTCCAGCTCTGCTGTGACCCGGAATGGGAAGAAGCAGTTAGAAAATGAATGCATTTTTTTTGTAAGGTGTGTTTTCAAAGTTCACAGTGATTTTTTTTTTCCCAGTCTCCATAGCAATGAACAAAAAACACTTAGACACTGGTTTCTATTCTTTTAAAAAGCAGGTACAGCACCTTTTCCACATTCAGTTTGCGCAATACTGGCAGGTCCACCTGAAGTGTGCTGGCCCTGTCTGTCATAGATGTAGTGCCAGTGTCTTTGGGCAGGCCTGTGTTAGACACTGTTAACTGATTTGCTTGTGACTGGGAGTGGCATGGCACCTTTTTGTGGCAGGTCTGCTTGCTGCCTTCTGGTGAATTTGGGTGTAGACTGAGGTACTTTTAACAATTTTTTAAATGTATTACAGTATAACATTAGTACAGCCATCACCTGAACGTGAAGCAATTCCAGTGCCACACTGCACTCAGATTTACTGTTTGCATGCAAAGCCATTCCACAGCTCATTTGTGCCATAAACACAAACGCATAACGCATGCTGACGCAGCTACCCACCTAAGGTACTTTTAGGTCACAATTATTTGCATTCATTGTCAAAGATTATTTTTTATTCACCCAAGCACCTAGCTACTGTGACACAAGGTTCAGTGGCTTATGCTGTCCTGCGGAAATTTTCGTTTAACTCCCCATGTGAGCTCCCAGTCTCTGTGTGATTTTTACTTGTGTTGTTATTCTGTTTTGAAAAGTAAAAAAAAAAAGTTCAAACACAATTATGCAAAGCCGAAGCCTTTAGACATTTCGGTTTTGGTTATGCATTAAGACTTAAGGGGCAAGCTCTGTGTTTATGGCACAAAAGAGCTGTGGAACGGCTTTGCATGCAAACAGTAAATCTGAGTGCAGTGTGGCACTGGAATTGCTTCACCTTCAGGTGATGGCTGTACTAATGTTATACTGTAATACGTTAAAAGAATTGTTAAAAAAATGTAGCATGGTATAGCTATTTTGAGATTTGTGAATTCTGTTGTTGCAAACTTTTTAATATCCCCTCTGTTTTAGACATGGCTTTGCATACTATTTAAACATGCCAGTTATTTTGCACGCTAGTTAAACAGGGCTGTGTGATCAATCAGTGCAGGCACTGCACTATGTCACTCTTGGTTTGCTCCAGGGTCACCCATGTGTTCCGCGCTGGTGTTTTGGACGTCACCACCATGAAGCACCATGGAAACGGCAATCAGAGGTAACTACGGTTTTTTCCCCCCTTTTGTTTTTGTAATTGTAGTGGTATATAAAGCTGTGGCATCTAACTTACTGTTATGTTATTGAGGTTAACGATTCCATAAGCCTTCTGGGTATTATTAAAATAAGCTGTATGTAAAATATTTGGGAATGTTATTTTTGCCTGTTTAAACATATTAATTTAACCATTAATGTAAGCGATCGAAAGCTTAGATGGAATGAACATCACTAGTGCGGGATTTAGACATCTTGCGTTTTTTCTATGTTTATATGTTTAGACTGCCTAAGATTCTTATTGCTGTTTAATCCTTCCTCACTTTTCCAAACAGGCATTACAAAGAAGGGAATGTGATATTGTCTTGTAGGGGTTCAATATGTGGTTTTCCAGTACAGTTTGACCCATTATAACAGTCGCAATACCTGGTCTGAGCAGTTTGTTTTGCTCTGAGCTAGGGAAGGCCAAAAGAAGGCACTTGAGTGCTTATGACTGTGCAGTCCTTGAGCGTAGCCTGCAGGGGAGTCTGTCCCTTACCAGGCCCTTCAGCACACCTCATACCAGCAAGGCTCTCCACAGGGGACTTTACCCAAGGAAAGGTACTGTGCTGTTACTTTATTAGCTGATTACATTTTTCACAAGATAGTTCTGGCATTCCTTCTTTAAGGAGTTGACTGTAAGATTAAATATTTTCACTATGGTAGAAACTCAGTGGATTATATGTGTATACTAGCGTATATATAAATGGACTGTAGGTTATATATATATATCTTTGTATATTATGTAGATGTATGAGTGCAAGGCTGAAGAGATAGACAATAGTTAAAAAAAAGTAAAATATTGAAGTCAAAGACCATAAAAAGGTTTAGAAGTGAGAGGGAGTCATTTGGCCCATTTAGTGTGTTTGGTGGTTAGTAGCTAATTCATCCAGGGATCCTATCCAGTTATTTCTTTTGGCTTTAGCGTGGCTGGGCAGCTTGTACTTTACTCCCACAACCCCACCAAAGGCAGTACAATAATCGGACATTATTAGTCCTAAGTACAACACAATTTCAGAAGTTAAATACTGGCAAACCTGCACTGATAAGGGACTACAGTGTTTGCCTTCTTTCATTTTCTGTATATAGTTTGCTGGAGGAATACGTCTGTTATGTTAACGCATATTTACATGTCATCTATTAGTTCACAGAAAGCCATGTTATCTCACTTGGTATTCTCTGATCTGTGGGGGTGTTTTGTTACTTAAATAAATAGGCTTTCACATAAAACTGTTGTTGCCAGGGCTAATGTTTAACCTTGTTGTTATTAACGTCTTCCTTAGGGTAAAACTAAAAGTTGGATTTTAAGCCTTTGTCTTGTGCACGTAGGTGTAAATGACCATTTGAAGCAGAGGGGCATCAAAGACTTCTTCCGGGTGACAGGGGTCAGTCCTCGTAAGATGGCCAAAGGAGTGAAGACAGAGGAGGGCTGCGGCGGCGATTTCGCCGCGGAGGACGACGTGTTGAATTTCAACCCTGGGGATGTCGTCATGGAGGACTTTAAAGAAGAGCCGGGTTTCAGGGAGGCCGATCTGAGACAGGGCCTGAAGCGCTCGTCAGAGTGCCTGGGCGGCGACAGTGCAGGGTGCAGCAGCTGGGCGCGACAGCCGGGGGCTGACCGTGTGAAAAAAGAGGACGAGGAAATACCTGTGGATTCGCTCCCTGACGTTCATTACGGACTCCTGGGGAGCACCGAGGGCAAGCAGGAGCCTTCTGGACACATTGGCCATCTGCCTGAGGAGATCCTCACCGTCATCTTCAGCCACCTGCCAGCGGAGGACCTGTACCGCCACATCAGCCTCGTCTGCCAGCGCTGGAGGGCCATAGTTCACGACCCTCTGGTTTGTTCTCATAACGTCACACTTTAATATTGACATTCTTCGGCATGGGAGGAAAATATTGGTAGGCTGTTGAGCCTATCCTTTGTGATTTTAAATGTAAGAATAAGACTGAAGAGTCTTATTTTAAATTATTGGTATAATGCCTAACTGTAGAGTTATTCATTTTAGTGCTTAAATCTGAGCTTTGAGCGGAATCTGGCATTGACAGTCGAATGAGTAACTCAGCAGTGAGGTAGGATGCAGCCTGAGCAGGAGGGCAGAAACAAACACTCTCGCACTCACACCAGCGCCAAATTTCCAAAAAGAAGCCAATAAACTTACCAGTATGTCTTTGCACTGTCCGCAAAGGGGGCAGAGCGGTGGCTCTGTGGCTAAGGATCTGCGCCTGTGGCTGGAAGGTTGCCGGTTCATTTCCCGCGTCCGGCAGAGGAATCCTACTTCATTAGGCCCCTGAGCAAGGCCATTAACCCCAACTGCTCAAGGGGCACAGTATAAGTGGCTGACCCTGCGCTCTGACCCCAAGCTTCTCTCCCTGTCTGTGTGTCTCATGGAGAGCAGGTTGGGGTATGTGAAAAGACAAATTCCTAATACAAGAAATTGTATATGGCCAATAAAGTGATCTTATAAAACCTGCAAGAACATGCAAACTCCACACAGACGCCACCCCAGAATTGAACCTGGATCCCCAGTACAGCAAGGCAGCACTGCTAAGCACTACATCACCGAAGCACACAGAAGTGTTGAACCATTTTATGGTTGTTGAACCATTTTATCTTATTATTGTTTGTTTGCAGTTTGTACCCTGGAAAAAGCTGTACTACCAGTACAGAAAGGGGATGTGTCAGGCTGTGGAGGAGGTTAAGGCAATCCTCACTGAGGATCACATCACAACCGATGAGAACTCATGTCTGGTGAATCTGGTAAAGTAAGTCGCCCCTTTTACTCTGCTGATGAGCGGAAATCATTGAGTGAGAGCCTTGCCTTCATAAGCTTGAAAGCAATCTTTGTTCTGTCTTTAAATATACTGTTCAATAGAGATAATGCAAAAAAAAAGCAAGTTGTTGCATTTCACCTTCACATTTATAGTAACAAATTCAGAAGACTTATCTGATTGTCTGGTCTGGTTTTTGTAGCATGGGGTTAAGTCACACTTTTGTATGTCTCGATGTATTTAGTTACAGCCTGGCTGTTTTGCTCTTTGTCATCTACCAGAGGACTCAAGTGTTCTTAACTAGTGTCCTTGTTTCCCTTTGTGTGAACAGATACATGTCCAGGTTTAAGCACAGGCGAAGTGCACAGCCAGCAAGCGTACAGAAGTGTTTGAAAGCTCATCCCTTATATGCTCAGGCTGAAGCATGTATGAAGGCCAGGACACCTGAATTAAAACAAATCGATGGGGTAGGTACTATTCCAGTTCGTCGTTTAGGGGTTTAACCAGAAAGGTTTACTTTTGGAATGCAGTCAAAATATCTTTTTTAGTGGTTTAGGGTTCGTTTAGAGTTAGAGTCATGAATTAGTTCAGGTGGGTAGCTGCGTTGGCATGCGTAGGCTGCAAAGGAGAAAGTAATAGGTTTATTCCATGCTGAAAAGAGAAGAAAGACAACGCAACGCGGTTTCAGCCGTGGAGTCTTCTTCAGGTGTAAGCAATCATGAATCATTAATTATTTTTGTTAGACGCTAAATTGTGTGTTTTTCACGTCTCCGCTCAAAGCTGTGAACCACACCAAAGCCCCATACCACAGGTTTGAACCCTGAAGTGTGTCCCTCACTTACAGCACCATGTGCCTGCAAGCACCTTGGCAGCCACAAGAGGGCGCAGAGCACCGAGAGACCCCCCCCCAGCAGACTTCTGCCACCGTACCCTCAATGGTGCTGAGCCAATTGTGCCCCACTGCTTGGGGAAGTGCTTAGTTATTGAGTCACACAGGAGGCCCTAAGATATCCCTGATTTGAGCCAGGTTTTACCTTCATACCTGCGAATGACTCAGAATCCCTGTGTGGAAAGTGTGGCCAACTAAGTTATGATTGGCTTACTGTATTTCAGTGAATCCTGCAACCTGCCTAAAACCTTCAGTCTTACCTGTGAGGGACAAGTCATTTCCCTGTTAGGTGCTGACTCTCTTGTGAGGGGCACTGAATTGATGAACAGTTGGCACGTCCAAATGAGGAGGTCTTAAAACCCGAAATAATTTGTGATTCTGATTTAAAATGTATTTGCCTCAATCTTCAACTTTAATAGTGTTCTTTTGCAAGGTTTCGTTGACTGCTTGCTTAGAAATGTGTTTTTTTTTGTTATCATGTTATTAGTGTTAGTGTTATTAGTGCTTTCTAAAACAGGTGATCAAAGTTGAACGCTTGGAGTTGAATTGAACAACTCCAAAGCCAGTGCCAAGTGAGAAGTATGTATCACGTAGCATGTCAGCAAGGAGGTTCATTTTGAAATTAAAAAAATATTTAATCTAGCAATCTTTCATGTACAGTAGCAGCCTTCACAAAACCTAACAGTTAGAAGTTAAGTGAGCAGCTAACCGTGTATTGCAGCACGAGCCTGTGTGTTGATCTAGATGTAGAGTAGGCTTGGGGCAGAGAAAAACAAAATCCTCAGAATGTCACAGGCACAGTAGTTGGTCCCCTCCAGGCAGTGAGTTAGAGATGGGCTGCTGTCCCAGGTTGGTGGAAACAAAGTGGCTAAGGTTCCCTGGGCCCTGCCATCTAGGATCTGGAGTCACAGGCCAGACAAAAACAAATCACTGATTGGATCAGTATTGGATCTTGTGATTCCCACCACAGCCTCACATAGCCAGTTTCTCGGGTTCCCCCGCCCGTTTCTTTAAGCGCCGAATGCGTTTAGATCCGCGCTTCAGGCAGACTCGACAAGTGCCCTGACCGACACGTCGTGTCTCGATGGCTTCAGGCTGTGAACGCCTGGGCGGCCATGGCTCTCATCGTTCTTCTGGCTCACGGCGTGAAGCATCTGCAGGCCATGGTGTCCTGCCTGAGGAGCCCAGCGTCCACCCTTTCCCTCTCCGAGATCTCGGAGTTTCTGTACTGCATGGCCACGCTGCTCCTGGCCATGAGGGAGAATGGGATCAGCATCAGCAACAGGTAGGACATGTTGTGCACAGCCGGGGGGCCAGGAGATGCATTCCTCCCCACACAAGAGGTAGTATAAAGCTCTTTTCAAAATGCATGCTGCTTTTTCCTTTTCCTTTCCTTTTTCCTATTTTATTTTCTCCAAAATGTAATGATTTTCATTTAGAGCAGGGTGCTGCTAGAGTCCGATAAAAGGAAGTAGCAACAACACTGAAAAATTAGGTTTTGGATTTAGGAAGGCCATGCTGCTGTGGCATTGATTGTAATTTCATCCACACTTTCCAGCCATCCTTGCTTTATAAGTCTTTAAAGGCGATTTTAAGAGTACAAACGTTTTCGGTCAAGATTGTTTATAAGACGTACCGATAGAAAACGTCTTTAAGGAGTAGTAAAGATTTATTCTGAAGATTTATGCTGAAAAGAAAACAAAAGAGACACAATGTTTCGCCTGAGAAGCCTTCTTTAAGAATCGCTTTGATGCATTTCCATACCATACTGTGTACTGTATGCAATTGTTTTAACTTCACTTCACATTTTCAAATCTTGATTCCTTTGACCTGTACCCTGCTGTAAACATCATCTTACCTACTGACTTCATGATATCTTTCCCTCTTAAAATCTTCCCCACTGAAATATGTATCTCCCAAATGTGAAGCACGGCTTCATGAATACCTCTCCATCTTTGTTTAAAGGAAGGTGCCCGCTTAGCATGAATGGCCGCTCAGTGTCATTGGTAGTACTCAGTGGTGGAAATATTGGCAGCTACGTCACTGATGGTAGTGTCCATAAGAGATCTGTGATAGTGAACAGAGGTTTTGGTAGATGTTCAATTTGTGTCTCCTTATTCTTGCTGAAGTAAATGGTGGGATTAAGTGTTTTAAAGTTTTCAATGTGTTCACCTTTTTAGGCTGCATTACAACGTGTTTTACGTTCTGCACCTGTTGGAGAATTGTCCTACGCGCCCTGGGGAAGCCGGACAGAGAGGGGAATCTGGCAGCCAAACGCTGTATCAGCCTGGGTGAGGATTTTAGAACTGTTTCGTCACCAAAGTTACCAACGTAATGGCTGTGAAAGATCAAAGCGAATGAGTGAGAGTCTCCCTTCATCCCGATAGAAATTTGCTTCATCCTGATCTGAAAACTACACACCAAATAGAAAATACAAAGGAAAGCAGATTTTGAATTTAACACAAAATGCTTTTCTGTGTGGAGAAAGGAAAAACATAGATATCATTTTCAAGTAATTTCTGTCCTATACAAATGCACTTATACATCACAAGTATTAAGGATGTTTTTGTGGTTTAAGAAGATACTATGAACATGATTGATCGGTTTTCTAAGTTTTTAAGTTTTAAAGTGAAAACCTATTTCTCCACACTTGCCAAGAATAGCAGTGTTTGTGTGTCTTGGAGATCCATACCTGTCGATAAAAGTGATGTTCTGGGACGCTAAAGCTGGTTTTAGCTGGGTAGCAGACTTTATTAAAGCAGCCTAAGGAAGTCTCAAGGAGATGGCTTGCCTTACCCTCCAGGTATCAGGTGGTGTATTTTTTTTATTTGCATTTTCCTTAAGGGAAATTATTATTGTCGAAAACACGAACATAGAATAGACTTTGCACGGCTAAGGGCGCAGGCATTTTTAACAAAATTGTTACTTTTCCTTTATTAACAGGGCTTTATCTATTTCAGAGTCACTCCCATGGCAGAAATCAGAGTAACCCATGAACAGCAGCAGATCCTGAATCATGACATTGATTCTAGACACGTTGTCAAAATTATGGCATTTGCAGGTAGGAACAAGGAATAGTGCTTTCACACTAGAGCAGAGCAAAAATGATCACTTTTTTGGTGTATTAATGGCGTCTTGAAATACTACTGTGAAAGATTTACTATACCTTCTTGGTTTCTGCATTCAGCGTATTGCCTTTACACAGCAGGTTTCAGTATTTTGTGTTTGTTAAAACATGCTGACAGAGGGCGCTCTTACATTAGTAATTGTTACAAAGACTTTGTTTTAAAACCACTGAAGCTAAGCTCTTGACTTTGTTTTTAAAGCAGTAAAACTGAGCACCATTTGGACATAACTAGCATCACAGAATATAATCCGTTTACAAGTTGTTTTAATTTATATTTGCAACCCACTTAAAAGAGCAGGTGCCCAAAAAACAGCGTGAACAGGACTAAAAAACCCTATTACAAAGCTAGAATTGGTTAAGCAAATGGGAGAATCAGATGAGATCAGTTGTACAACTTGTGCCTAAAAGTCCCTGCGACGGTATTTGTCCAATGTTGTTGAAATTATCTATTGACATTTTTTAAAATTTTTTTTTTTAAATCAAAACGTGATAGCTTGAACTGAACAGCTTAAGGATTATTCACCAGGAGCACAACATTGCTTTGAAAAGTCACAAAAATTAGTCTCTGTGTGCAATAATATGCGTCCATCCACATCTGGAGGGCTACTGAGCAAGCCTGCAAAGAATAGGTAAAATGTGTACCATCCTGGCATGCAAAGTTGGTTTTAGGGTCATTGGAGACTTATCCAAAAAGACTCACAGCTGTAATTGCTTCTTATATTAACTTGTTTTTGTGTTGACATTTAACTTATTTCACCCATAAAAGTGTTCTTGTTTAAAGTAAAGGTCACGGTTCAAAACGTTTTTATTTTTAGGCACTGGAAAGACGTCCACACTGATAGAGTACGCCAAGCAGAGGCCACTTCTGCGTTTTTTGTATGCAGCTTTCAACAAGTCTGTAGCCACGCAAGCCTCTCAGGTCTTCACTAGCAATGTGGACTGCAAGACCATCCACTCCCTGGCCTTCAGAGAAGTCGGATCCAAGTGAGCACCAGGAAATCATATACTAAGATATCTGGGGTCATATTTTGGATGGATTTATAATAACACATTTGCAGTTTTCCCCTAATAAGATAAAAAAAAAAAACACACTGTGTATAAACAGCTTTTTTTTTTTAAACATTAGGAACTTATATTCATAAATATACGTTTTCATAAAGTGGTACATTTTGCAAGGGAAGGTGCTCTTTGTGCACAGTCCCTGTTGTTAATGTTACAAACCCAGTGTGGGTCACAGACATGCACAATGTGTGATTATGGGTTTGGATAGTAAAACACAAAGTCATAAGGAACTTTTCTGATGAAAGTATAGCTGTCAATCCTGCTAATCAATTAAATAAAATGTTTTAAAATGTTCCCTTCATGAAAATGTGAAATACAGCTAATTTGTACAGTGAAATACAGCACATTTTTTGTCATAAAACTTCCTGAAGTAAGTGATTGTTATAACAAATTGAAGTAACAATTGTCTCATTTTTAAATGCCCCGAAAATGTGCTTACCCATATTGTCATTAATACTAACGTTTATATTATATTTCTTTAATTTTCTATATTTGTATTTTTAGATATGTGGCTTTTAATATTAAGAGGCACATGACTTCCATCACAGAATGTTTTCATATGGTAACTCTTCAACAAAAAATAATTTCAATTTATTATTACAGATTTACAGTATTAGCAATTTATTAGATCTGAGCATTGTCCATTTGTTTAAAGTCAGTCTCTTTGAACTGAGATGCAGGCAAAGTAACTTGGGTTTCTCATTGCTAGATATCACAAGCTGAAGAAACTGAACCCATACAGTCTGAACCCGTTCACTGTGGCCTGGATTCTGCCTAAAGGCAGGGGTGGGTTTGTGCGAGCCAAGCTCGTAACCCAGACTCTTAAAACTTTCTTCGCCTCTGCTGATGACACCATAACTGTGGATCATGTCCCAATGCGGTACAAAAACACAAATGGACAATATGCTTTTGTGGAGCATGAAGAGAAATTGGTATAGTATGATCATTTTATCATTATAGTTAGTCATTTCTGGCAGACAAATCTATACTGAGCATCAAAACAAACTTGTTACTTATGACTGCACAAAAAAACATAAACTCATTATTTTAAAAAATGACAGTGTTTTACAGCAAATGCACAGAAAGGGCGTATGTAGATGACTGTATCACAGTCAGTCAAGAACAACCATATGAAAATGGCACCAAACACATTTTAACAATATCCAAAACTAGTATATTGGATTTTTCTTACATGCATAAATAATGATGAACTTCTTGATGCGTTATTCATTAAGGTTGAAATCTTACTATTGGTTACTATCTTTAATAAAAACTGTTATTATTGCTACTATTCCAGCCATTTTCAATTATGTTTCTTTTTAAGATGTATTCTAGTCATTTATAAATCAAATCTGAAAATAAAACCATGATAACAATAAGGGAAATTTGAAATGACTTAAAATGGAATCAAAACTGGACAGGAGATGGCACATTAACATTAATGCAAATACAGGTATTAGTATGTGCAAAAAGAGTGAACTACTACATTAGTAACAGAAAACAGGAAGGCAGTGAACCACAGGCTTAAATAGTAAAGCAGTGTGAGGGAAAATTTCAGTACCAACTCTGTAAGTTCTGCACATATCTGAGACAAAATTTATAATGAAAAGAGAACATGTGAATGCCATTTTTAAATATATATTTTTTAATTTTTTCATAACAGAAAATTGTCCACGATACCGATGGCATCTGGGAGAGGATGAAGGAGTTGAAAGGAACAAGGGAACAAGGCCACTACATGACACACGATGGTAAAAAAGGAATATAACAACGACCATGATGGGTGCAGTCGTTGTAGTAATCAGGGGTTCTCATAACTGGTACATGTGTATATGTGCTTGCTGGAAAAAGTAATCCTTTAATCTTGGTTACATCAGATTTAGGTGTTCTTCATTAGTTATAGATAAGTATCCTTCCCTGATAATAAGGCAGACTTATTATCTCTAAAATGGAAGTTATTTAGAGTCCTTACCTCTTTTTTAACTTTATATGTACCTAGATACCAGTTATGCGATCCGCAGATAGTAGTGGTATCTACCCCCTGTTTCAACTGCATGGTACTGGCAGTTCTTGGCACTGCTTTTTTAGGTCAGGCAGGCTGGGTGCTTGTTAAGGTGTGGTATGAGAGGATAATATCTCGCAACCTTAACCCTCAGTCATACCAATAGCAAGCATGCAGCCTCAGTTACTCAAGTAGGGCATAAAATATATGACTATGTTCACTAAAATCATGACCCTGTTTTGTCCCTTTTGAGTTACTGTTTGCACATTGTGTTTTTGCAGATTTCTGTCATTTTCAAGAATGTAATTCTTGGAATGGACGATGTTTTGCCGTGTTTCATTATGTATATTGCAGAAATGGAGAACTCTTAAGATGTAATGTGATGTATTAACCTTGTTTTTGTGTTGAAATGAATTCAGGAGCAGACCTTTCCCTAAAATTGTTTATTTTTTCCTCTAGGATACTTGAAGCTTTGGCAGCTTCAAAGACCTCGGCTCTACAGATATGATGCTATTTTCATTGATGAAGCTCAAGATTGCACTCCAGGTACAGAAAACACACTGTGGTGTGTAGGCAAGCTTCAGTCATGATGCATCTGTTAAAAGTCTGAATCTAAATGTTTTTATATATATTGCTATATACAATTTTATTTTCGTTCCTACTAAATTAATTACCGTGGCCTCTAACAAAGCTGTTAACGTTTTAATTTTTTTTAAATATTCATCTTTCAGCAATCATGGACATAGTTTTGTCTCAGCCCTGTGGAAAAATACTGGTAGGAGACCCTCATCAGCAGATCTACACGTTCAGAGGTGCTGTCAATGCCTTGAATGAAGTACCACACACGCACATTTACTACCTAACACAGGTACCACTGCTAAGTTTTATCAATTTAATATATTTAGTTTGAAGTCTAAACTAGAAAGTTATGATATTAAAGGCTGAAAACCGTAAATCTGAATAATTAAAATGTGATGACTTGAAGTTTAGTTTCCTAAACTAATCCTTTGTCAGATTTCATGCTGTCTGTCAGTCATACAACACTCGTACAAATATGCTGATGGAAAAAAGAAACACAACACCTCCTCCTACACACTCTAGCCCTCTTATCTGCGTGGAACAGGCAGAAGAGTGACTCATCCGTGAAGAGGACCTGTTGCCATTGCTGACGAGTCCATCGCAGCCTCTGTCTGACCCAAGCCAGTTGGGTGTGACGTCTAGGAGTTGTTAGCAGAGGGCCTCTTACAGGTCGCCGTGCTCTGAGCCTCACTGTCCTGTCACTGGTGTGGGCATTGTGTCTGCCGGCAGTTTCAGCAGCTATACGGGTGGCATATCTGAAGCGATCTCTCAGATGGACCAGTCCTGCTCTGGTGTGGTCACTCGAAGGCGACCGGATCTTGGACGGCCATCTGTCCTGCTGGTCTGCTGAAACCTTCTCTGCAGTCGGGACACAGTGGAGCGGCTCACTCCGTAGTGTCTGGCAACGCTGGTACATAATATGCCTGCTTGCAGCATGCCAATGGCCCTCTCCCTTGCTTCTGGTGACATTCGAGGCATTATGGAATGCACAGAAAACTGACTAAGTGTGGCCTTTTCTTGCAGTGACCTAAGCTTTGAATTAAGGCCTTTTTAAAGGTGACCTGATCAGGCATTGTTCCACCTGGACCTCGTTAGGTAAAAGTGCACCTATCGAGCTTTCGTGTGATTGGCAAGTTACAATGCCTCACTACACAAGCTGTATTGCTGGTCAGAGGGCTTAAAACAAATTGACAACTTTTTGTGAAAGTACATAAGCTATAACTATAGTATTCTCATTCCAGAAAATGTTGCGTTTCTTTTTTCTATCAGTATATGTTCACGGAAGCAGTTCAGAAGGCTTCCTCCATTTAGAGTTATTTTCTATGGATATAAATGTGAGTGTAGTGAATTAATGACAGTCTTGAGAAAGCAGAGATGGTAGTAAAATCATCACCTTGTCAGGATGTTTAGAGGGGAGTTCCCAAAACTGGTCATCTTGAAAGCTCAACCAGGATGAGCTTCATCAGACATTTCCCTTCAGAGTACAGGCTACAAACTGCTTTTATAATCTCACACACGCAACAGCAAAATAAAATCTATATTAAGAGCAATTAATGTAGATTTCTTTTATAGAATTCTTGGGTGAGGACTGGTCAGAAATGCAAAATTGTCTCTGATTTCCAAATTATCACTGTGAATTTGACCTCTCTTAAAGTAAAAATACTTATTGTCGCAGAAAATGTATATTGTTTTTTTTTTGTTGTTGTTTGTTTTTGCTTAGAGCTTCAGATTTGGCCCAGAAATTGCTTACATTGGAGCCACGATATTAGACATTTGCAAAAAGGTGAAGAAAACGCTTGTTGGTGGAAATCAAGAAGGTAAATATAATATGTAAATATAATGTAGGGAGTCTGTTACATGGTTATGATGAACTATGGAAACATCTGGAGGTCTTGCAAAAATAAGAAATAAAAACTTTGGATTTTAAAGAAAAGGCGATAACTATCGCAGAGTAAAATGTACAAGTGGGCATGTTTTTCTTTTTTAAAAACAATAGTTTTGAAGTCATCTGTGCTGTACCCACCGATTTGAGATAGCCAGTTGTTCCTTTTTCATTCCTCAATGCTCAGCTGTGAATCCCGAGACCACGCTCGAGGGTGAATGAGAAAACGTAGGCAGACACTCCCATCTATCTTCCTGCCAGTCCTCTTTTAACAGGCACATGTCACAGGCACCTCAGCCCCATAAGGGAGGGAGACACGCAAGTCTCCCAGAGTGCCTGGAGTGAGCCCTGGAGGCTGTAGGGATCGCTGTGGCGCTAAGAGCTGAGAGCTGAGAGAGCCCTAGGTGACTCATTCCAGCCTACTGACAGCAGCACCCAGTCGTTTGTGCACAGCTGCTTGTGGAGCCCTGGTCACAGTCACCTCATGACGCAACCCACCCTCGAGCCCAGGATCACAGAGCTCAGCCTGCCCTCAGGCCAGCTTCATTCCTGGTGCAGTCAATCTGAAGGCCCCATGCCTGTCTGTTGTGAATCTCTCCAAGCTTCTCTTTTGTTTGCAGTCACAGCTGTTTATATACAAATTATAGATGTAGAGTGTATATGTGGTCAGTAATTGGCTGTTCAGTTTATAAACCTACAGGTCAAAGTAATCAAGGAAATGTATACAACGGTTGGTGGAATTTTGAGAGTGCTCCCGGATTTTGATTTCTGTTCTCTTGCTTTAACACCTCAAGTCTCAAACATCCAAAATAATTCTTGAATTCGTTTGGGGGAAAAAAAAACATTTGGTTTGGAAAACTGTGTGTGATTACTGTGGATAAAAAGGAGAAAGTTCTCTCCATGATTTTTTCCAAAGGTACTGTTTGTATGAGTCTTGCGAGCGCATATTCAGCAGTTCTGACTATTTCACAACACTGAGGGGCAGGACTTCAAATAAAAAAAAAAACATTTTTTGTGTATTTTCAGTTGCAGATTAAACGGATAGCCCTTTTGCCCTTATTAGGGCTTATCTTAATGTGACCTGACATACTGTATCTAACTTTGATCAGTCTATCTAAAGATACATAGTTGCTATTTTTACATGCATCAGGATGCTTGTCTAATCTGTTTGAGGTTTTCCTTTGTACTGTTTGAAACAGGGAGTGTTACTGGAACCACAGCGGGAAAGGTTGCAATTCTATCCCGTTCAAATACAATGGTGTTTGATGAGGCTGTGAGAGTAACTGAGTGTAATCCGCCCCCGAAAATTCACATTGTTGGTGTGAGTATTATAGAGGTTTGAGTTTATTCATATTATAAAAACCAATTCTATTCTTATACCTTTCACCAGGTACTGATCTCCCTGTAATATCCTAAAGCTAAAGCTCGTGCCGCATTGTTCTCTTCAAACTGTGTTTCGCTACCCATGGTTTATTTTTGTGATTGTTTTCGTTCTTCCCTATCTGAGATGATAGATTCAAAGTGAAATATTACACCCAAGTTCACAGAAAGTATTCAGTTGCACGTGAGTTCCTTCAGCTTTCGTCCCAAACCACATCACACATGCCTTTATCTCAGATCTTTCCACTGCTGTGTAAACTCAACTTTGAGAGACTAATGCAAGCAGCCCAGCTTTTTAGCACAGAGTCACTGTATGACTGACAGTCGTTGTGCCGTGTATTGAAAGCAGCTTTCAGGAAAGCAACTGTACTGTACTGTATTATTTTCTCAACAGCGTGTTAGCACAATGTATGTGCCATAATCATATTCAAGGCAAGATACATCAACAGGCAATGTGAGCATCTCCTCAGTGCCTGCCCCTACGGCAGCCACAGGTTGATGTTAATTCTTATGTTACTAAAGCTGTTACCTATTATATATGGGTAGTTATTCTCATTTCATATAATGAAATCAGAAAAAAAATCTTAAACTCTGCTTATGCTTTAAAGATGCCTTCTTCAAAAGCTTGAACTCCCAGTGAACTGTGATTTAGTGTTTGGAGAAGATGAAATCATGGCTTAGACCAAGAGAGGGAGAGAGGCTTTATGCCTTCTGGAAGTCATTATGGAGAGTTAATGCATCATGAGGAAAACATTTTTGCACTCTTACCCTGGCCCGGTTCTGAAACTGCGGTAGTCTAGTCCTCCGCAGGGGCTCAAAGGAACAAGGTTTTTCTCTTTAGTCCCTGGACAGGGCCCACAGTCCCTTCCAGCACTCCTTTGGCATGTTTACTGTGTCTCTTTGCAGTCATTTTGCTTAGCAGTAGCAATCGCAAATACCTTCGTTGCGACATCATCCATGGTGAGATTTATGAAGGGCTCGTGGTGGGTCTACTAAAACAGTTCCATGTTGCACACAAAGAATTCTCCAGTGAGCTTTGATAGAAACACTCAAGGTGAATCCACAGCTCGGATAGGGGAAAGCTGTCTACAGCTGTGACAGCTGCTACTCATGGGCCTGCTGTAATCTTTCATTTTTAAAGACGGAAATGCCTGAATATATATATTTTTTATCTAGCCCTAAAATCCATGTGTGCCAATGTATTGTTGCAGGCTTTATGCATTGTACAATGTTATCTCACTAAAAATACATTGCTGTAACTTTGTTGTGGAAATCAACTCAATAAAGGATTTACTGCACTTGGACCCTGTGCTGTAAATTCTTGACCAGGGTTTTAATTCTGTCTTTTTCTCAGGGTGTGGATAATTTTGGATTAAGAAAGATTTTAGACATCTGGATTCTTTTGCAGCCTGAGGAGGAACGTAAGCAAAGTAAGATGTGCTTCATATTTCTCTTTTTATTTATTATGTAACTCTTTTTTAAATAGACTGTGTAGTGCCAGCAGAGCATGCAAAAACAAATATACACTTTGAACCAAATGTTCAAGAAATAATAAGCAGTAAGCATTACAGGTATTGTTCGCGTTATTGTTTAATATAAAAGGGCCTTTCCAAATGTGTTCCTAAATTAAGTTTCCTAAAAAAAATTGGTTATGTTTGTAGGCTAATCTGTTATTAAATACACACATATGGTATATTTACTACTAATAATTTCTATTTAGATATCTACATCGTTGTTTCTTTAATCAAATTCCTCTTCTTTCTGCAGAAAACTTGGAAATAGTTGACAAGTTTATCCGAAATTTTTGCCGCAGCTCACTTCGTGGTTACAAAGGCCTGAAGGAGTATGCTTCCACAGCTGAAGATGGAGAACTGGAAGGAAAGATTACTATGGTTGAGAAATACAATCACCGTATTCCCGAATTAGTGAATAGGATAGAGAATTGCTCTGTCTCAGACCCAGCCTCTGCAGGTAAGTAAAATCCAGAATCTCTTATCAAACGTTAATTTTTTTTCCAGTGCCGTTTATTCAATATTTATACAATATTTATGTTATATTAATACAATTTATATCTTGTGTACTAGTAGTTCCCCTTTTTCTTAATTGTTAAAGTGACCTACCACATTTTGCTCTGTTAACAACCTCAAATTGCAAATAATTTGTACAGGATATTTTTTTGTATGATTAACAAAACATACTTAACATTTTGATGGGACATCATCATTATTGTAAAAGACAATTTGAAGAAAAATCCAGATTGGACAAGTATTCACCCCCTGAGCCTATCAGTATTTAATATTTAGGTGCTCCCTCTTTTCCAGCAATCGCAGCTTCGAGTCTTCTGCGGTATATTGTAGCCAGCTTTTCACATATTGCGGGTTTAATTTTCATCCTCTCTTCCTTGCAAAATTGCAAAATTGTTGTGGCAATGGTGTACAGCAATCTTCAGTTCCTGCCACAGATTTTCTATGGGATTTAAGTCTGACCTTTGACTATGCTGCTCAAGGACTTACCCCTGCTTGTTTTTAAGACACTCAAGGGTTGGTTTTCAACTTTGCCCTGTTGAAATACGAATCTCTGTCCCAATTTCAGAGAACAAAGACATTGTAGGTCTTTGACGGTTGTTTTCGGCCCCTTAACTGCTTCTCTATTCAATGGCCTTTTTGCCCAGCTGCTGAGTTTTGGAAGATGACCTGGTTGTTGAAGATTCTTAGTACTTTTATGCATTCTCCACTCCCTGATAGTTGATTTAACAGTGCTCCATGGGATACTCAGTGCCTTAGAAATCCCTCACCTCACTCTTGTCAGTCTATAACTCTGCTCCTTAGATGTTATCTTCACATTTCTTTGTATGAATTGTCCAAAGGTGGGAACTCGCACAGACAGGAGTATTTCATCTTACCAAGAAAGGTATGCTCAAACTGAGTGGTAAACCACTTTAATTGCACACAGGTGGATTCCAGTCAATGTACTGTGCAAATTGTGAAGGCAACTAATTGAGATAGAGCTAATTAAGGAGTGTTAATGCTAAGAGGGTGAGTACTTTTCCAATGAAGATTTTTAGTGCTTTTATTTTTTTAGTTTCAAACTTTTAAACACACTGAAATTGTAGAGGATGTTTTATGGATTAAGATGGCAAGACTGTAAGTATGTCAAGTTTACCAGTTGTAACACAGCAAAATGTGGCAAAATACAATAGAGGTCAATACTTTCTGCACACATTGTGTCTACACCATTATAATAGCAATTTTTTTTCTTCCTTTTATCTGAAGATTTTATTCTGGGAACAGTTCACAAAGCCAAAGGACTAGAATTTGACACAGTGGTAGTCACAGATGACTTCATCAAAGTCCCCTGCGCCAGACATAATCTTCAGCGTCTGCCAAGATTTGGAGATGGTAAGTATGAGAGAAATTGGAACAACAGTTTTGAATGGGACACATTTCACTACATTAGGCTAGAGTCTTTGCAAAGCTGTAAAAGTATATTTATAAACATAGAATGTGTTTTGAATGGGAGGTGTTTATTAACGGCTTTCTTTTTCATTGAGACTTTGGAGCATGTAAAACATTTCATAAAACAACATTTTTCTCATTTTTTACAGCAAGCATTGTAAACATTTTAACAGTTATGATTATGAGGAATGAACTTATGAACTGCTTGAAAATGTTTTTACCAAAACTCTTTAGTGTTGAAGATATACAGTATATCTGACAAGGTTTATTTGCTGAATTAATGGTTCAAGACCTGTTGCACTAAGGAAAATGAATTGTAGTTGTACAAGTTTTACATTTAAATTTCTATTTTTTTAATTTAGTGAAAATTTCCCATTTATTGTAAAGAATTCATTTAGCTTTAAGTATTTTTCTGTCACTTTAAACTGGGCCTCAAGAAGTGATTTTGGAAACATTGTCTTACGGAATCAAAAAGATAATGAAAATATAAGCAAAAGTAACAGTGGAGTTGGAATTTATAAAAAACTAAAATGTGGCATTGTGCCCTTTTAGTAAAGTTTAGAAATTGTCAAAAGGTAGTGAGGATGATTTCCCTTATTAATCAGTTATTAATCAGCTAAATCAGTCCGTATTCCTTTTTTTCACATCATTTAGGTGATCATTTCTCAGCAGGTGAAGCACATGCCTGCCCACTATTTAACATTAGAAAGCCTTACAAATACGGTCAAGTCAACAAAACTAACCAGGACTAACACCAGATATCAGAAGTTAACTAATCATGTGTTGTGGCTGTTTCTAGTTTGGTCTGTAGCAGAGCTGAGCTGAGGAAGAAAAGAAACAACTGGTCACATGCTCTGTCTTGTCCTTTAGGATCTGTTCCTGATGATGAGTGGAACCTGCTGTACGTAGCTGTGACACGGGCCCGAAAAAACCTAGTGATGACTAAATCTTTAGAAAATATCCTCACCCTGGCTGGGGTGAGTGAGCAAAATGTGTTCTTTTTCTCAGGTGGAATAAGGGAAGCACCTCATTTTGTTGAAAATCTTTATTGGCTTCCACAACACTAAAATTGGAGCAGAGGAATGGCAGTGAGGTCATTTAATCTTTTAATCATAAATCAATCCTATCTTTTTCCTTTATTCAGCAGTTATCTTTACTTACCAACAGTAGTAATTTGCTTTATTGTTAACAGTTTTACAAGGTCACTTTTTATTACATCTTTAATATGAGCTTAGGAAGACTTACCACTGAGGTTTAATTTTCTCTTTAAAATTCACACAAGGATATTACTTTATTATATGCTTAATTCATCAGTCTAACAAGGCAAGCCCCTAGAAGCACATATATTACTTCAAATACATTATGGTTTGCTCAGATCTGTATTGGGCAGCTAGCCAGCTGTTAGGAGCTCCTAAGAGGGCAGGGATCTGTATGAATAAGAGCTATGAACCCACCTATTGACACAAAGACCTTACTGCCAGCCTGAAATACAAACAGGATTAAGTAGACCTCATACTGATAACACACACAGTTTGAAAGATACATGAGGGTTACATAGTTTCTTACCTGATGCAGGGTTTCATTGGCGAATCAGATCAGATGGGATTTGACTGTTCCATATGGGTGGTTTTAGAATGGCTAGAGTAATTAATACAGAATCATCTAAAGATTCTGTGTATTTTATCTTTATCTGATTCTGTATTGTTAGCCAGCCAGCAGCATATTACTGTGCAACTCACAAATAGTAACCCAATGAAGCTCAGCGGGTGGGAGCCTGGCCAGTACCTGGATGGGAGACCTCCTGGAAAGCTTAAGTTGCTGATCATGGTTCTAATCCTCATTGTTTGGAATTTGTCAATGTAGGAATACTTCTTACGCTCCGAAATGACTAGTAACCTCGTCACAGACGGCCAACTCCCTCTGTGTGCTGTCCGGGACTGTCAGAACCCAGTGAGAGAAGAAGCTGTCCTTACGATGCAGAAAATCCCGATTAAATATGTATGATTTGAATTTCATTTACTCTTTTAATGTCATTGTTCCTTATTTTCTACAACTATATACAGTATATATAATCTTGCATTTTGTAAAAAATATTCTATTGGAAATGATAGTTTATAAAGGTGTGTACGCATGTTTTTTTTTAAGAAAGTACACAAAATCCTTTAAAGTCGGTTTTCCAGTTCTGTGAGGGCTTAATGACTGAGTTTGATTTCTTCATTTTGTTTTTGAGTCTGCTCAGGGTGCAACTGATCATTCTAGCGTGAATGTGATAGGACAGCGATTGCTAAACTGAAACTCTTTTGGTTTAATAACTACCCCCATGAGTCATTGTGATCACCTAATAAGAATTCTACCTGATTAACTGCATCATGTACATGTAGACAGTATGTTAATAAGTATTCTGAAAAAAAAGAATGGGGTAGGCGCCAGTGATGGTGTATTCACTAGCATTGTCCAGTTTGTGCTTTTATGATCTCCCATGGCAGCGGTATTTGTCTTTATGTGGCCTTTATAGCCCACTGCTATGTGTTTTCTGTTGGCAGGGTGACAGAGTGGATGCAGGAGGGCCCTTCTGCACTACGTGTGTTGACCAGCGTCTGGGGCCAATGACTTACTTGATCGGTCCCCCCGAGCTCACGACATTGATGCCCTATACAGAGGAGCGTGTGGCCCTACCAGTGAACATCGCCTTGTTGCTTGCTCTGTTTTAAACTTCCCGAATCTCCACAGAAGGTGCTTTCCACTAAAGCCTTTGCGTCTAAAACGTTGTTGTTTTAGAGTTGTCTCTCTTGCTCATTGACATGTTTATATGTATTCTTAAACAAAATAAAGGGATATTTTTGCCTATTTCATATGAAAAACGATGTATTGATTCATTGCCTGCTTTTGAATGCTGCTGTGAACTGCTGTAAACTCATATAATTCACACAAAAAATATTCCTTATCCTTATATAGCACATTCCATTAAAAGCACTTTACAGAAAATGGGGACTCCTCTCCATTACCACCAGTGTGCAGCCCCCTTGATGTGACAGCAGCCAGAGTGCTCACCACACACCAGCTATTAGTGAGGAGGAGAACAGTGATGAAGCCAGTTAATTATTGAGGATTATTAGGAGGCCACGATATGTAAAGGCAAGGTGGAAATTTGGAAAGTGTAACTAGGGTTAAACCCCTACTTTTTTTTTAAAGAAACCCCCATGGATATTTGATGACCATGGTGAGTCAGGACCTCAGTTTTACATCTCATTTGAAGAATGGCGCCCTTTTTATAGTAAAGTGTCCCCATCATTATATTGGGGTATTAGGACCCACAGGGTGAGCGCCCCCCACTGGTCCCACTAACACCTCTTCCAGCAGCAACCTTAGCTTTCTAAGGAGGTCTCCCATCCAGGTACTGACCGGGCTCACACCTGCTGAGCTTCAGTGGGTTGCCAGCTATGAGTTGCAGGGTGGTATGACTGCTGGCAAAAATGTCATTTCATTTGCCTCTAAAATTGACTACTTTCCCCATTTGAAAAGCAAGAGCATGAGTTGCTTCCATTTTGCAAGTGCAGTTTTGGAACTCCTTGCTCCTGCTTGTTGCTTGCCTGGATAGGTTCCCCCGTGGCCCTGTAATAAATAAAGCGGTTAGAAAATGGATGGATGAAGCCCTGGATTCTTTGAGCATGTTTTGCACTTGGAATCTCCAGCGGTTGCGTTACTGGTCTCATCTTTGTGTTCACTGATAGTGCCCTGTGGCAGTCTCTGCCCTTTGCCGCACAGCATCGCTGCTTGACATCCGCTGAGAAAGGTTGCTGCTTTGCCTCTTCCCTGTAATGTGAAACCTTTCATTATTTCAACTGTACCTCCTTCAACTTCCTTGCCTGGCGGCCTCATCTAGCCTTTTCTTTCAACCCACATATTTGTCATTCTCACTCGGCTTACCAGACAACCCCCCCTTTTCCTTGGGCCACATTTTCTTTTCATTATTTCCCTTGTAATCCACAGTAGGGGTAATCAATTCTGGTCCTGGAGGGGCCAATGTGTCAGGAGGTTTTCAGCCCAGCTGAAGGAGCTGTTTGTGTGGTTTAATGGCACTAATTTAGCCACTTCTCCCAGCAACTCATTCACTGGTGCTTTAGATATCCGGAACAGGTCCAGACAGATTGACATTCCTGAACCAGGATTCGGGTTAACCCTAGTCTACAGAAAGTGTGGAAAGCCTCACTCAGTTTAAAATATATTAATGTGCATTCTTAATTATGATTGCTTTGTAATAATAGCAAATACTGCTAAAATTAGCATGAGTAATCAAGTACTAAATTCAGAATTGCCTGATAGGAGAGCCTTGCAGAAAGAATAGTGTTAATGCAAGAGTTTTGGTCTTTTGAGCGTCTGGAATTGCAAGCATTCTCATCCGTAAACAAGAACTTCATCAGAAGGCATTGGGAAGTTATTTTTTTTACATATCGTGGGGTAGTTATTGCTTTGTAACAACCTTTGTGGTCTTACTTCTTTCATGCCACTCCACTGCTCTCATCTCATTAGAGGTGCCATGTAGTAACCACTATTGGCCATTTTCTAGACAGCTGGTGATCCATGCTGATAGGAGTCGGTATATTTTCCAGATAATATCTAGCGAATGTATTCATGTCACAGTGGAGGTACAGGTGTAGAGCTACAGTATGTAATGTTTAATCGTACAGCTTTAATTAAATGGAAGCATCAAACCCTTAAGTACAGCAAAGTTTAAAGCCTGTTACAGCAACGGCACAACCTCTAATGTAAAAGCACTATTTAAGACTTACATTCCGAAGGTGGCAACTGGAAGTTGAAAATCCTTACCCTGATGTAGCTCTACTTGTGCAGTGTCCTGGGTAGCGATGCGTAATAATCTGCTCCTGCCTGATGTGATGTGTAGCTAGGTGCTGCAGTCGCATCTCTTGTGGCACCTCTGCACACCCACATTAACTATACTTCTGGGAAGGTACACACCTTCCTCTGCCTTGTGATAATATACAGTAAGTGACTCTGTACAGTGACATCTGTCCCTTAGGAAACCCACACAGACTTGCACTCCTGGAATTGAACCCAGCCACCCGGTGCTGTGAGGCAGCAATGCTAACCACTGTGCACCACACCACCTAGTATTTGATTCACATAATCCCAATTTATAAAGACATTAAAAGTCAACTCAGTGAATTTTTACAGAATCGACGGTGCAACAGGATACAGAATACAAGTCATGGAAATACATGGATTTACATTTAAAACAGAACAGGTAATAATAATAATGTTTCTTTATTAGCCCTATACAATTTCTTGCATTAGGAATTCATCTTTTTGCATACCCCAGCTTTTCTCCATGGAGACACAGACAGGGAGAGACGCTTGGGGTCAGGGCACAGGGTCAGCCATTGTATGGCACCCCTGGAGGAGTTGGGGTTAAGGGCCTTGCTTAGGGGCCCAATGGAATAGGATTCCTCTGCCGGCCATAGGATTTGAACTGGCACACTTCCTGTCACAGGCACAGATCCTTAGCCACAGAGCCACCGCTCCGCCCCTGATACTGAGAATAGGAGATACTCCTTTGCACTATGGGCCAAAAACACAAAATTGGTCTGAGCAGTTACAGCAACATTCTAAAAAAAAAGGTTGCAACAACATGTATAGTAAAATTCACCAGAAAGGGAACATATGTGTGAAGGCTTTTTAATTAAAAAAACATTTTGCACTTCAAGCTCTTGAATAGGCTTTTAATGGGACTGCTGCCAGCCTCCCATACAGTAACAGTCGGTTCCCATTCCATTTCATGTTGATTAATGTTTCACATTGACTGTTTATACCAGAGCAAAATAATTCCCATGGCTTTTGCAAATCCCTGATGTGATTCAAATATTTGACCTCTGCGGTATAATAGAGAATGCAAAGGAACAAGTAAAAGTTTATTCCATGCTGAAAAGAGAAGAAAAGAAACGCATCATTTCAGCTGTGGACCCACACACACACACAAAGAAGGCTCCGTGAAACGTTGTGTTTCTTTTCTTCTCTGTTCAGCATGGAATAAACCTTTACTTCCTCCAATAGAGAATTAGAGAATAATAGACGGATTTTGAAGGACTCAAGTCTTAATTGTTGCATTAGATATATTGACCTGACTCTTAGAAACATTCAGGCAGTTCAGTGAGTCTAAGTGTCTACTGCTGTCATGATCATTGTGTCTGATGTGTGGAACTAGGACTTCAGCCTGCTATAGAGAATCAAAATGCTTTATCTTCACATGGCTGGTACAGACTGTACACTCCTGTTGCTTGAGTCAGGGTTAATGCTTGTTAAGTTAGATTTGTATTCCCACAGTGGAGCCAATTGGAGTCACCATCTAGCTCTAGCACTGCCATGTAATTGTTTTCTTTTGTGACTTGATTTGTGATTCTGTCCCTCTCCAAAATTATTGGTTTGCATGCAATTTCTTCAAGACCCTGTCACAAAGCTCTCCCTTGGGGGGAGATTGCTGTTTTGGTGACTGAAAATGTGAGCATTCTATATCCAGTCTCCATCTCTGTTGTGAAAAAGATAGCTGCTGAGCTGCTGCCACTATGCTTTCATCTTTGATGCCTAGAGCTCCACCTCCATTCAGACAGGAAAACACATTAGCTATGTTTATTTTTCCTCTCAAGATAGTCATGAATTTAATAGCAATATTTGTGTTTCTGAAACATAAGGAATGAATTTTGTAATGAATGTATTTTCAGATTATACAATGATTTTTTTTAATATTGTACAGCACTACCAGCCTTACTTTACAAAAATAATGGTACCTGCAGCAGTACCACTTTATGTTGTTTTTAGTTTTTGTCTCTTGTCCAAGCAGGCGATTTCTTGAATGCAATACTCTGTGCATTATAATATAACTGTTTCATCCCTTCTGCCTGCTCTCACGACAAAACCTGCATCAGCATGTACAGAACAGTTAAATAGGGTCTCTTGCTTGTAATGTTTGGCAAGACATAATAGGACAACGCAGAGTTATTAAATTTGACTCCTCCTTGGAAGGAAAGTGTATTTTCAAATGTGCCATGTCCTGTTTTTTTTTGTTGTCTCTTTGAAGAACATCTACGGGCCATGATTAAAGCAGCTCACGGCAGCAGCAGTAGTTCTATGTTCATAACATAGTATTTGTTATAAACTCTAGCAATCAAAATAAAATATATGAACTATTTGAACGTCACTCTATATGTGCATATATTGTTCTAACATAATATTAGAGATTATTATGGTGTGTTTCAAAACATCAGATGGACCTCAATGAAGCTATGTTTCCCAAATCATGGGATGGACATCAGGATTCTTCCCTGGCCACAACCATCTCCAAATTTGACCACAGTGACAACAAGTGAGATGTCCTGGAACCTTCCAGGAGCTGTAGTTCACCACAACCCTCATCTCATGTAGTGTTACATCAGCTGCTGTAGTCTGAGTGGTCACCTACTGTATCTCCACGGATGTTTGAGAATGGCTAGTGGGACTGACATTTCAGCTGGAAGTAGACTAACCCACTATTTCGGGGTTAGGGTTAGATCAACACTGTTTTTTTTAGAAGCACATGACTATGGGGGCCTGGGTTCAATTGCTGGAGTGCTATTTGTGTGGACATTGTGTTTTATCCTCGTATTTCCATTGGTTTCATCCAGGTGTTCCCATTTCCTCCCACAGCCCAAAGACGACATATTAATAGATTAAATGCTTTTGGAACAATTGGCTTAGTACAGGTGTGTGTGTGTGTGTGTGTGTGTGCGTTTCTGTGTCTGTGTGTTAGTCCTGCAATGGACTGGCATCCTGTTTGAGGTATATCCTGCCTTGTGCCC